TGCTTTTGTACGAAGGTATCATTTGCTTGTATATTTCAACAAAACTAGTCTCCAGTGAATTAATTTTCTAGCATTTTCCAATCAGATACATTAATTTCGTTTAGTATAAATTGCATTTCAAAAAACAAATTAAAAAAGTCAAAAATCATTCATAATACAGGTTGAATTAAACAAATTACATTCCCTCCAAAATAACTATCTAATAATTGAAAAAGTAAAATCACATAAACATTTTTATATTAAACGTGGCTCAAAATCTAGACCCCATTTTCTATCTAACTAATTAAAAGAACAAAAAAACATTCAATTTGACAAGGAGAGCATGTCTCTTTGATCATGTCACTTAACAATGGTATATTCCCTTATGACCAAATATTACTTTTTTGTTGCATCACATCATATCATATCATCATAGATTGATCATATGCAATATAATATAACTAAAAATAAAAAATTAAATAAACAATAGACCAAGTGTGGCTTTAGACAAGCTCTGTCTGTCGAGCCAAGGTGCTCGAGTTCGATCTTTAACGAGTCAAATTACAGAAAATTACATAAAATTTTTCTTTTCGAACAGAGTCGAGCCGAAGCCAACTCGACAACGAAACGAGCTCTAAACAAGGCCGAACTCGACTCGTTTATGAAACGAGTCAAGTCGAACTCGAGACTTCAGCTCACGAGCGGGCTCGTTTCATTTAACAGCCACACCACAAATTGATGATGATGATATCATAAACATGTCAATGTATATCCATATGTAGGTGGGACCCACGTATATATATATATATAGAGAGAGAAATTAATTAAAGATGAATTTGGATGGTATGGTCGGCATTCCCAATGGCGTCTTCTCACATGTGTGAGTGTGTGAGAGAGAATGGAAGCGGCAGAGGTGGGGGGAGAGAGGAGTGAGAAAGGGACGTGTGCATGAAGGGGGTCGTTACCCCCCTTTCTCTCTCTATCTATTTATCAGTCACACGTTGCTTTCACAGTTATTACCACATGTGTCTACATTGTAACACCTTTCTCATATCCTTCTCCTTGGATTTTCTGTTACTTTTTCCACTATTGCTATAATGTATTAACATCATCTTCAAGTAGTATACTAATTATGAAGGGGAAGATCCGATCTTGAACTTCATAAAATCGTGAACGAAATGTGTTAAATGTTCTTCTTCTTCT